ACATATACATTCCTGTCCCGTCTCCTTTGCTACCAGGTTACATCGATGTTGCACAAACCATTCTCATTATATTAACAATGGCTGGATTTTTCTGGACAGCTCTCTCTCTCTCTCTCTCTCTCTGTCTATCTATCTATATATATGCACACACATACATATATGTATATATACACACATATACACACATACATGTGTGCATATATACACATATCTTCATAAATATTTTGCTTATGAACTATAGGCCTAATATCAAAATTTAAGAAACTATGTAAATATGAAGCTTGGAATAAAGTTGTATTATGTTGATAATTGCTGGAGGTAAAAAAAAATTAAACTTTTTTGGACAATTAAACTTTTTTATGCAAAATAGTCAGTTATTTTTGGGTTTGCCCCGTGATTTCTCAATAACTCACATGCTCTAAAAGGATTTAGACAAAATGTTCCCTGTATATGTAGAAAAGACTCCACATATCTTCTAGTTGTTATTGTCAACATGTGTAAATGTTGATTTGTATCCACCATGCTGATTCAGGGTTCAGCAGGAACCATGAAGCCAACACTGCACCATCAGAGCTTAAACATACTGCTTTGCCAGCACATGCCAAAGCTTGATCTGCTCCAAAGTTATAAATCCAATTTCCTGCTATATACCTACTCTTGTACATCCCCCATATTTGAAACTGAATTTGTAGTCATGGTCCAGCCTTATTCTCCCTCCTGAGACCTCAAATTTAGTGACCTATACTGGCATTAATTCCCTTATTTCTCCCAAATCCTCTTTTAGGAAGACTCACAGAGAATAGATACAAAGAGCCAAAGGGAGATAAAATATCAGCTCTGATAATAGTGGCACAGTAACTCCCAAATTACAAGGCTTCCTAGTTTGAAGAATGATGTTTAGGCCTGAGGCCCAAAATATACCATTGTACTCCTCCCTAGCATTGAAGGCAACTTGGGATAGGAGGGACCACATCGCTAATCCACTTAATCTCAGGCTGTGGGTATTCTGTTTCCCAGCTGAAGTTTACTACCTAGAGATAAGAAGGCCAAAGCACACCAGGCCTGAACAAAGGCAATGCCAAGTGATAAATTAAAAACTGCTACACCTGAGTAGTGTGACTTTCAGACTCACCCAAAAGATAGATCAGCCCCTGACTCTCAGGCTCTGGTGCAGCTCACCAATCAGATGTCACCTGAGCTCAGGACACTATGTTTGTGGGAGAGAGAATCTACAAATATACAATAAACCTCTCACTTCTTACCAGGGCAGCAAAAAACCTCTCTTGGGAGTTCTCATGACTAGAGAAACAAGCCTTAATCCTCTCTACCATTTCCCTAATCATCCAAGCCAAGTGCTTGGCCATGAATCTAAAGTACATTATTTTTCTTACTTCTTTTATCACCCCTTATTTTCTGTCGATCACCAGATCCTGAAGTTTTATCTCCTAGATCTTTCTCCATACATCTTTTTCTCTCCATCTATCCACCCTTGATATTAGGTCCAGTCCTCATCATCCTTTGCCAACACAACAGCAACAATCTCCGAATTCTTTCTGATTTTGTTCCATTTCTAATTTAATCTCCACATCGCAACCAGAGTAATTCTGAAACTCAATCTGATCATGTTACCCTCTGACAGCTTCCCATTAACTACAAGGATAAAGCCAAGCTCTTTAGAATGACTTACAAAACCCTTCAAGACCTACTACCTTTCCAAACTCATCTGCCCCATTTCCCCATCCCATACGCAGCCCAGTAATATGAAAATGCCGGTAGTTTCTGACAGCCCATGCGGCTGCAAATCTTCATCCCTTTGTTCATGCAACTCCTCCTGTCTGAAATACTCTTGGCTCCTGTCTTATTTGGTCAACTCTGATTCAACTTCTTCTTCAGGAAGCTTTCCGTAACCTCCGTACTTGTCCCTGCCTTGCTCCCTCAATCTGGAGAAAGTACTCTTCTTCTGTACTCGCTCTGTGAATAGCTACATCATTGGATTGACTACGCTTTACTGATTTTTTTTCTATGTCTGTCTTCCTATTGGTTAGCGGCCAAATCCCCAGTAACCACAGGTTACCAGCACTCAAGATAAGCTTGTGGGCTTAAACTAAACACTTTGTTTTCCCAACTTATTAATTCATTCCTTAATTCATCCATTAATTCAGCAATAACTTGTCGATGAATTTTATGACTTTCACCTCACTCACCCACTTTTGCCTGGCTGAGTAATATCCTGATTTCCCAGAAGTGTTTGGCCTGTGTGGAAACCAATCATTTTCCTGCTTTGCTACACATCCAGAGTATATGAGGAACGTTTGTTAGTCATTTTCAAGTTGTGATTGGTAAATTACCCATTTGAGTAATTTTTATAAGCTCTTGTTCCAGTGACATTCCTGACATTACACTGCATCTCTTTTATGGGTATAGGCCAATATAAGTGATGCTGCTTGACAGCCTAATACCCTGGAACTGTGAGACTATCGCTCCCTCCTTGCTGGCTTCCATCTGCAGAAAATGCAAATCTCAATGACAGCCATCAGAATTAAGCACACTTTGATAAACAATAATAGCAAAATAGTGTCAGATTATTATTTCACAGCAGGCCTTAGAAGTCACTCAGGTTCCGCTTGTCTCTTCTTTTTTCAGAAGTCGGCCTGCTCAAGGGCTTTAGCTGTGAACGGGCACTGATCTCTCTTTTTTTTCTTTTTTCATTTCAGTTCATACAGGGTCAAGTTTAAAGAGCTTTGATATAAACCCTACCTTTTCCAAAGAAAGTCTCAGAAAGCAATGGGGAATCTTAGAGGGTGGGAGGCAGCGAGCTCTTCCCACAGCAGTGGGCTTGGGAACCAGAGAATAATGAATGAGAGGGTCTCTCGGTGCTTCTGGCAATGAGGATAATGAGCGGCCATAGTGAGTGCAGGCAGGAGGCCGCCAGAAAGAACTTGACCGGGAAAAGGTAAGGAGCAAAGGCCTCTGTGATTCTCCCCCCACCATGGGCCCATTTCCCCACGAAAGAGTAAGATTTGTATAAACTACCTTGTAAAGAGAATTTTAAAATAATAATAATAGCAAGCTAATTGGTTAATTTTACACCTGATAACCAGGTTAATAAATATCATACCCTAAAACCTTTTGGAAATATATTAAGCATATACACACTCTCACACCTCTATCAGGGAACAAAATATTTAATAACCAGCCCAAAATATACCAGCCAACCAGAACAGATGCCCACTATAAACACCAGGAAGGCCGTCCTGGATCACAAAGTTAAATGCATATACACACAAGTGAATATACACACAACTGCACAAAACCAGGCATTTCTTCCCTCCCCTTCAAAGTTCCATACTGAATTCTACTCTGGTTTCTTTTTGAAGCAACAAGAATGACTAGTAATAGAAATGTGAAAGAAAAATCTGAAGCTATTCTTGTGTTGGTTTTGGGGGGTTTTTTTTGCCTTAAGCTTTAAAAAAAATGACATAAGAGTTTCTCCACTTTCAGCCTTCTACTTGTCCTTATCTCTCTTCCCAGGCCCTAAAGACCAGCAACTCCCCAGCTCCCTTCTCAAAATAGAAACTAAAGGAGAACCCATGCTGCTCGTGGGCTGCCTGCCTCGCTGGACTCCCTGAGCCTGGCCTTCCTCCCCATCCTCCTCACGGACCTCTCCAAGCACCCCACACCCCCCAGCAATTTCCTACTTTGCTTTTTTTGCCTTTTCCTCCAGATCTTGTTTCAAATTCAATCCTCTACTCATAAACTTTTCACATCATTATTTATCATTATTTTGCCATTCTGCCCTTTAAAATTCTTCGGAGAATAGTAATTTTAGGATGCTCTGAGGCTCACGTCATGGAGCCAAAGCTCGCAACCTATTTTTCAATGGGAACATTTGTTAGATACCGCATGTCAGTCATTCTCCTGGATAATTTACTTACACATCTCATTCAACCATTACAATGCAGTGGAAATGTGATTCCCACATTGCTGCAACCTGGGAATCAGAAGGGCTGAGGAACTTGTCATTGATCACACAGCTAGTAAGCAGCGAAATCCAGTTTGGAACTCAGGAGATCATCTGACTTCGATCTCATGTTCTTTCATACCCAATGTTGCTGCTGTAAAATAAATGTCAAAAATAATAATAATCGCTAGCCAAAGTTAGAGTCTCACCTTGATTTGACTAACACTTTTCCAAATGCTCTCAAGTGTTTACAAATAAGGCTGAGTCACCACTCCACATCTTAACATGGCTTATAAATCTTAAGCCAACGGAGCCCCAAGCAAACCTAAGCTTGAGGAAAATGTTAGCCAAAATAACTTTTGTCTACTACTTTTGAGGGAAAATAAGGTTTTAAGTTATAGATTCTCAATGTACATTGCCATTTATTTGAATTAATGTTCCATTGTGTATTCAGAAAGTATAAAGTGATCAGGGATGATCAGCTGGGGGTTAAATGGCAAAAGCAACAAACCCAAAGCATTATGTTAATGGTTGAGAGGATTGTTTTTCTTTCTTTAGAGAGAACAAAGTATTTACAGGTAGACATGGGCCCCCAAGTAAAGAATGAGGACTTGTTTCTTTTTTTCTTTTTGAAGAAAGAATTCCTGTTATGAGTTATAATAATTTATATTTTAAAAACACTTAGGATAATTTTTATTGTTGTTTTGAGTATGCTCCTGAGATTAGTATCTTTATCAAACTGTCTTTATATTAACAGAAAACGGTCAAATAATACATTTGTTCCATGAGAAAAGAGAAGAGAAGGGTTTGGCTACTTGTTTCTTGCTCAGAGTTGAGATGTTTGTGTGTCAGTGTATTTGTGTGTCTGTGTGTGTGTGTGTTGGGGGGCAATAGGCACATGCTGGGATCTTGTTGCCCTCAGGCAGCTTTGGAGTGGGCTCCTCTCGGCCTCCCTGGCCTGGGAAGGCTTGGGCAGCGGCTTACTCCCTAGGTAAGTAACTGTGAACCTCACATAAGGCTCTATTATTTTCAACCTCAGAAATATTTACCAAAAAATCAGAGACCACGACCTACTGGACAAAAGAAAAACTGTCACAGCACTGAAAGCTGGCGAGGACCGGGCCATTCTCCTGGGACTGACCATGATGGTGTGCTCCGTCATGATGTACTTTCTGCTGGGGATCACACTCCTGCGCTCATATATGCAGAGGTAACACCACTGGCAGGACGGGACACTCGTCTTTTGTCTCTTCCTTCTCCCTCCTCCCCTTCTTCCCTAATCAGAATGTTGAGCAGTGCCTGGCACATAATATTTTTCAATGACATTGTCTAGTAATAATGATAAATGATCTCTATTTATACACCGCCTACTATGTGCCAGGAACTTTCCATATATTACATGTTTAATTTTCACAACTATTCTATAAGGTAAACATTAGTATACTCATTATAAAAACGGCAAAACTGAGGCTCAAGACAGAAATAATTTGCCCAGTGTCCCACAGCTCTAGCACACAGCAGAGCCAAGATCCAAACACACATCCCTCAGATACTTCCAGGGACTCTCTTCCTGTCTCTCCATACCTCTGTTCATCCTCCACCCTCTTTCCTCTTCCACCCCACCCCCGCTCCTCCAGCCCTCCACACATCAGTGGTCCTCAACTGCACATTTAAACTTCCTGAGAAACTTTTAAAAATACCCATGCTCAGTCCCCACCACCATCACCCCAGAGGTCAGACTTAATTGCTCTGGCATGGGAACCAGACACCAGTAGTTTTTTAATTTCCCCAGGTGATTCTAATACGCTGTCAAAGCCGAGAAACACTGCTATGCACCACCTTGGAAAAAAAGTACAGAGTTTGAACCCCTTTCATTTTACTGTTTGCCCATGGTTTACTGAATACATAGGGAGGCAATTAAATTACTGAGATTCCATATTCCCCCTTGAGTAAGCCACGGCATCTCTAGCTAACACTGCTTGTAAATTGGACGCTGTGAGCACAGGAGAGCCCAGCATTATTCTAACAAGTAGGGAAAGTCTCCCAGTGGTTCAGCTTAAAGAGATGAGAGCCTTTCAAAATAAAAACTGAGGCTGTGATCCAAAAAAGAAGCAAACCACTTTGTGGCATTTAATTCTCCACCTAAATTAATACTTTCACTTCAGAAGAAAACTGTGGCTGAAATATAGTAATTTGCTAAAATTAAGACATCTTCTCATCTGTGACTGCTCTGCCCTGTTTCCTGGATGCCTTCAGCTCTCTCCTTCTCAATGGAAGTGCTGATGGCTCAGGCCCTGAGCGTTCACGGATTCCAAACCTCTTTCAGATCCTCACATCTGTTTAGAACCATCTAAGACTTTTTCCTCCCTGGATAAGCAACCTCTGGTCACCCACGCCCTAAGGAAATTCAATTTGCCACACCAGAGGGGGTCAGGACTACTATAGTGCCTCTGGTATGAAACAGGACAAAGAAAGGGGGCCCTGCCAGCACATGTCCAGCAAAAGAAAGGGGTATTAATCTGCAAAGAAAACACGTCTTCTGTTCACTACGGAAATCGGCTTACACCCAGAAGCAAAACATCGACTGCTGGTGTGTTACTTCCAAATCACAAATGTTACTTGTGGTTATAAAATTATAAATATTTTAGAATAAAAAGCTAGTCAATAAGCAGCTGGAAGGGGTTTTTTTTTCTTTAATCTTTCTATCTGCAAGGTCCCAGGGCGCAAACATGAAGCTAGTAGTGAACATAGAAGGTCCTCTTTTCCACTGTGCTCATGGGAGGTAACAACAGCAACATGGAACCAGCCTGGGCCTTGGAGAACGAAATCCAGGCTTAGGTGGACTCACAATTTCCGTCACTCACTAGTTCTGTATGCTTGCACGTTACTTGATTTCTGACCCTTCGTTCACTCACCCTTAAAGGGAACTAATACCCAACTTATAGACAAGAGAGGATAATGTATAAATTAATGTAATGTAATCAGATAAAATACTGATTAGGGTGGAGAGAAGAATGCGCAAGTGATTGTTCTTGGTATAATCAAAATGTGCAGCTATCTTTTCTCCCTTACTAGGAATACCTTAAAGAAATAGATCCCTGTCCTTCCATCTGCCGAGCTGGACCTCAAGCCCCTCCGCCCCTTTGTCACGTCCCGCCCTCTTCTCCCTTACACCTTCTCTGCCTACCAACTGGGCAGACATTGCAGAGGTGAGGGCTGGGGCATGGCAGGAAGTTGCCTACAAGGTAGAAATACAGAGTGAGTGCAGGTTGTGATGTAATAAGGTGCTTTATGCCTATCAGTGAATTTAAGATAGGAAAAAAATAACTTAAACCAAGCATTGAAAAAATATTATACTATAACCAGTGATAGTCATTGAAAGAGTTCTCAGGTGCCAGGCAAATTTTGTCTGTTTGTATTACTGTTTGCCTAAAGCTGCTCTATTTAAAGGTATAAACTTTAATAGATTGTATTATAGATCTGGAAAACATTTCTCAGGTTAAGGACAAATGACCCCCTCTATTTATGCCTCCCTTGCTATTAGCTCTCTGAACCTGTGTTTTACCCTCCCCATCCCTCTGCAGCGTGTGGACTGAAGAGTCTCAGTGCACGTTGCTGAACGCGTCCATTACGGAAACATTTAACTGCTCCTTCAGCTGTGGCCCCGACTGCTGGCAACTCTCTCAGTACCCCTGCCTCCAGGTGTACGTGAACCTGACTTCTTCAGGTGAAAAGCTTCTTCTCTACCACACCGAAGAGACGATAAAAATCAATCAGAAGGTAGGTCACCCCCCTCAGAGCCCCCGCACCCAGCTCATCTCTCTCTGAAGTTTCCCTGGGCCAGAATTTCAAAGGAAAATGCCACCGGGAAGCAGGCCCTGCCTTATCTATAAACAGAACTCACTATTTAACTCTGGCCTGAGAAACATTTATTTTCTGTGCAAGTTGTAGACAAATCATCCCCCCACTTTGCGGTAGTGCAGATTTACCCTTTACTTCCATTTAGAAGAATAAACATCATATCCTTATTTATACACTAGTAGACTGAGTCTTTCAAAGCAAATGCACAGCTTAAGAGTTGTACAAGCCAGAATCCCAACTATTGGTCATATATCGGGGAGCCACGGAGTAAAGCTGTATTTGGCTTTTCCACAGTCATTGTCACTTAGTTCTGTGATCCTGGAGATGTAACTTAACTTCTCTGAGCCTCAGCTTCCTTTTCTCTAAAAAGGTAAAAAACAATGGCCATCTTTCAAGGTCACTGTGAGAATTAGAGCAGAGAATGTAAGGTGCTGAGCAGAGTGCGGTGCCTGGCACGGGGGAGACTGTCAATCCAAGGTCACAGTGTGTGTGCCTGTCTTTCATATGTATTATGTGGACATAGTACATATGGAGGCTGAATTTTTCCAGCATATTCAAGTTCACATGATAGGTGGTCAAGACGCAGGTAAAATTTGCAGTTATAAGGCCTGGGATAACCCGTCAAGTGTCAGCACAACCAACCTGCTACTATCAGTTTTAAATTAAATATACTGAGTTTTGGATTTATGGTAGCAACTCAGATGACCAGAGTACTCTTATGCCAAAGCAACCCGGTGCCACTCCAATAGGATAAGTGGCCCTCATCACCCAGGTACAGCCCTCATTACTCCAGCTTCCCTTGTAAAAACTTTTCATTACAATTATCAGCACTTAAGTGACACAGATTGTATGTATTGGAAAAATGCTGTAGCTTTGAAGTTTGATACTAGAACATAGGCTTTATTTTGCAATATATTGACACAAATTAAGGAAATCCATCTTTTATTTTTACTGCAATAACTTACAAGAATTCTCCCAAATGTCCCTGAGGATTTAACATAATAAATATTTCAAATAGCTTTTGAAAATAGCTATTTTCAAAAATAGCTCTGACTTCTTTTGTCTGGGATAGCCACAGATAATACCAGTCCTCACCCTTTTCTGCAAATCTATAAAGCTCAGCTCTCCCACAAAGTGTGTGTTTTTCAAGATCTTCCCTCAAGTCAGATTTTTTAAATCAAAGCTGACCTGTAACAACAAATGCTTATAAAAGTCTCAAAACTTCATGGAATTGGAAATTGGCCAAAGTCAAATAAGCATCAAAAAGTGAGATGTATTTCCATTTCCTCGTTTTGATATTTTATCACTACAGATCTGTAAATGCACTAACAGGGCTATAAACAGGAATTGGACCTACCATAGAAAGTCTCAGTTAAAAATTTAGGACCAGTATCTTGTCTGCTGTCAACATGGTAGTAGGTCATTTTTTTGGTTTATTTGCCCCATTACCTTGTTTTTGACTGTAACTTATAACACACATACAGAAACATGCAAGAAATGAAAGAATACAGCTCAAGCATTTATTAGAGTTTCCTACATATAACTATGATGAAGTTAAAGAAATAAATCATTTCTTGCACCACAAAAATACCTTTCATGCCTCCTCCCAATAACTATGCCCCTGCCAAATGCAACAACTCTCCTGACATTATGGCAATTATTTTCTTATTTTTCTTTGTAGTTTTATTACCTAAGCATATATCCGCAAACACTGTATTTTAGTTTTGCCTGGTTTTTAAACATTACATAAGTGGAATCACACAGAATATTTCCCTTTGTGTCTGGCTTGCTTTGCACAACACTGTATTTGTTAGAGTCATTCCATTTGGTGATACCTCACTCATTTTTATTAATGTATCATTTCCCATAGTATGAACATGCCAATTTACTTACTCATTCTACTGTTGGTGGATATTTTGAGTCACAGTTTGGCACCATTACAAGTAATTCTGCCATGAATAGTTTCATAAATATCTCTTGGTGCACAAGCACGCACATTTCTGTAGGGTATAAACCTGGGAATGGAATATCTAGATCATGGCGTATACTTGGTTTAGGAGATAATGCCAAATGGTTTTCCAAAGTGCCTTCACCAATATACACTCTCACCAGCCTTATATACCCTCACCAGCCCTGTGGGTATGAGAGTTTTTAATTGCTACAAATCCTCACCAATCCTTGGTATCACCTGTAATTTTAATTTAGTTAATATGGTAATATTTCCTTTGGTTCTCATGACTAGTGTTTCCAAATGCCTTTTCATGTATTTATTGGCCATTTGCATATCTTCTTTTGTACAATGTCTGTTCAAGCCCCTTCTCCATTTTTCTATTGGACTGTTTCTTCTGCATATTCATTCAAGGAATTCTTTAAATCTAGATATGAACATCCATTGGCTATATGTCTTGAAAATATCTTCTCCCATTATGTGGCCTTCTCACTATCTTAATGATGTCTTTGAATGAAAGAAATTTATAATTTCAATACAGCCAAATGTTAGCTTTTGTGGTGTTTTCTTTTCTTTTCTTTTCTTTTTTGTCCTGTTTAAAGTCTTTATGTACACTGAGGTCATAATTTTCCTAAAGTATTTTCCAGAAGCAAATGGTTTCTCTTTTGACATTTAGAGTACAATCAACCTGGAACTGATATTTATGTAGGAGCCAAGTTTCTGAGTATCTTTTTTTTTTCATGTGAACATCCAGTTGTCCAAGTCCATTCATGAAAAGACCACCTTTTCCTGGCCTGATTATTTTTATAATCCCATTTCCCCTTCTGTTTTCTTGGAAGTTACCTGTTCTGTTGCTGTTATTTTCATTTTTAGCCTAGAGATTAAAACTTGAAATCTTGACTAATCAAGAACAATAAAACATTTTAACTCCACTTATTCTCTTCTCAACTTATATATTATTATTTTCTATATATACCAAAGCTCATGTAGACATTATTATTGTTTTTGTATATAGTAGATATTAATTTACATGTGTTCCCATGATTTTCCATTTTCATTATTTTTCATTCCCTCCTTTATCTCTGGTCTTCAATCTGAGATCATGTTTCTACTGTTTGAAGAACACTTTTTAATTAGTATTAAGTAATATCTACTTTAAAGAATTATCTCAGCTTTCATTTGTCTGAAAATATTTTATTTCATTCTCATCCTTGAAGGATACATTCACTGAATATAAAATTCTAAGTTGGTTGATATTTGTTTCTACACATTGAAAACATCCCATTGTCTTCTGGTGAACATTGTTACTATTTAGAAATCAGCTTTAAGCTCGTTGCTGCTTCTTTGAAAGTAATTTTGGTATATTTCAAAGATTATTTTCTTGGGTTTCCTACAGTTTAACCATTATGTGCCAAAATGCACATTTATTTTTATTTAGACAGCTTAGTGTTCCCAGGGCCTATTCCTTGATGTTCTTTGTCAAGTTTAGATAGTTCTTAGTCATCATCATATCATATAGAATCTCTGCTTTCATTCTCTCCCATTTCTCTTCCTTGGAATCCAAGTTGGCCATATGTTAGGTTTTCTCACTGTATTCCCTATGTGTCTTATGCTTCTTCTTATAGTTTCCCTTTTTTTGTCTTTTTGTGCTTCATTCTGGATACTGACCTATATTCTAATTCTCAATTTTTTCCTCAGCTCTAATATATCTACTGTTAAACCCATCCTTTGAGTTCTTAATTTCTCTTATTGTAATTTTCATTTCTAAAACATTCATTTGGGTATTATTTTATAATTTTTAGTTTTCGACAATATTCTTATCCTTGTCTTTTAAATCCTTTGGCATAAAAAGCAAAATTTTAGATAAAGTTTATGTTGATGACTTCAATATCTGGAGTCCCTATGTGCCTATTCTATTTTCTTCTCTTTTTCCACATGTTGTATAATAGCTGGTTAATTTTTATTAGATTTAATATATCATATTTACAAAATTAATTATAAAACTATTTTTAAGCCTAGGATGATGTCATATTTTCCCAAACTTATTTTCATTTGCTTCCACCAGGACCCTGGGTGTATTGGCTGTTCATGATCCCCTCATTCTGACTTCATAAGTTGAGACATTCGCGTCTCAGTGGAAATCCTTGTGAGGACCTGTTTTGCCTCAGGTTTACCATTACTCCTATGAAGCAGCCCTTAAAAGTCCCAAAATAAAGTGAATGGGGGGATTTCATCAGAGCCCCGACTTGACAGGCCTTACCTCTGCAAGGCTGTCAAAAACACCATTCAGCCTTCCTGGCTCTCAGCCCTCTCCCAGAATCAGCAGATGCTCCCAGGGGAAAGGTGGCACCCAACACTGGCACACCCTCCTGGCCTGGTAGTATTTCATCCCCTAGTTAGCTGTCCTCTGCTCTTAATTGGAAGTGTATACATTGAAAATACAGTTATCTTCATTCCAGAAGGTTATTAAGCCATGATCTTAATCCAACCTAAGAAATAGTCAGGATATTCCTGAAGGGAGAAAAATTAAAATACTCTCTATGTGGATCTCTCCTTCCTGTTATCCACCCCTAAGCTTACCAAAAAGAATAACCTTCCCCATAGTTACCAAAAAACAGTAGCTTTATTAAGATAGATAAGGCGCTGCTGACAATGTTTGATTTGAGACAACAGGAGGCAAAGGATATCAAGCAAGCAAGCTGTCTGCATCTTTGTAGAAAACATTCAAAGGATTTTATTTTCAATTTTCACACTCTCTAATGTATTCTTTTTCCTTAGCCTTTAAAGGCAGTGCCCAGCCTCTTGTCAGCATTACACCTAAAGCTGCTTAAGCTGATAAGCGGGCACTGTCTTGGGAGACCGCCCCACTGACAGCCTCTGGGGGCTGCAGGTGGGCTCGACGGCCCCCGCCGCTCCCGGTGACTTGGTGTCACTAGAATCATAAACAGTGGCTAAGTGTTCATGCACTCTA